GGCGAGGAGGGAGAGCGACGGAGTGGCTGGCACTTGGGAACCCCCGTTCTTCAGTGAGTATACCCTCTCTCTCTCTTTTTTTTTTTGAGGGAGTATACCCTTTTTCGCAGGGAAAGAAACATATGGTTTATCTTTGATTTAAAATTGCTTTCCTAAGTATTTTAAGGATTTCATTTTTCAGGAAAGAAATGCATGGTTTATTTTTGGAACAGGTGATACGCAGAATTCTGCCAATCTACAGATTTACATAAACCGGTCAAGAATCACAACACCTGAATCACATAATGAATCCTGACAATATACCAAAGCACAATACAACTTCTCAAGTCTGTTCAAAATGAAATTCTCGCACCAAAAGCACAAACAAACCTGATTCATTTACTGTTTTTTCGACAAATTTCCCATTCACTGTTTGGAGAGCTTGACTGAAGATTGCACAAACACTGTGTGCTCTCTCCTTGAACACAAATACTCATGCAACTATCACTCTACCAGTCTAGTTAATACAAAACCACTGCTCACTTAACTACTGATTTCCCACCAAAGTGGACCAACAGATGTTCTACAAACGAATTTGGAAAGAAAGTACCGAAAATAGTCCAAATCGACAACCATCATAATTGTTAGAAGGGATACAGGGATTGGCGGAACATGATGGATGTATTACTGAGCCTCGAGGGCGAGTATATATTGAGTACAAGACTTGGAGGGCAAGATATATCTCTAACAATAATAATCAGAAAACACAACACCATATCCTTTGTTTGTTTTCAGTTCTTAAAAACCAAACGCTAGTAGTCTTTCACGCCAAGCAGCATCAGGCCTTTTGATATTAGTATAAAAGATTCATTAAGACCAGAGTTGATCTGCAGCAGTTCATTCGAAACACGAGGCAAAAGCTTTGCCCGTTTCATTAATTAAGAAGAAGGTTGCCCAGTTAATAACGGAAAACCGGGCGAAAACCGATACAAACAGGGCCAAGCCCCACTCGCCACATGGCCAAGCCAACTCAAATCGCCACACCACAAGGCCACACCACACTTGCCAACGATGCCACAACCATCATTGGAGCACACTAATGCCATACACAGATGAACCCACTGTTGCCGGAGAGAAGAAGCCACGACTGCTATGAGAGGAGCAGACCTGGGATGCTCCCAGTGCCGGTCCTCGAGTTTCGGAGGCCCCGGGGCGAACTCAAATGAATGGGCCCAGTGGCGACATTGGAGGAAAAAAATGAACCCATACATTGATAGAAAAAAAAATCTTGCAAAGCTATAATAAACAGTGGTAATTTTCCTTGGTGAATAATACTCCAGGTCATAAATAACAACGTCATACTTCAGGTCTAAATCAAATATCATAGAAGTTATAGAGCATAACAAAAAGTAAATCATATGCTAACGAACCTCCAAGCCTCCAGCAATCATGAGAAACGGCTCCTTCGTGCATTTTTTGATGCAAAATCATTAATGACAGTATCAAGATCAATGTTATCCAACACATCCTTCTCAACACAACATATTGCCAATCCATTCAATCTTTCTTGCGACATAGTTGACCTCAAGTAATTTTTCAACAACTTCAATTTTGAAAAACTCCGTTCGGCTGATGCTACCGTCACAGGCATAGTTAAGAGAATTCGGTAAACAATTGACACGTTTGGATAGCAATCTGCAGCTCTAACAAACTCAAATATCTGATCTGCTGGCATGAGTGTATTTGGCAATGTCATTTGCAACACTTTCAGTTCAGAAACAAAATCATCCAAGTCAACATCTGCTGAGTTGTCATGAGAAAAAGTCTTTGCAAAATTAGTGCAACATCTTCTCAGGTCATTATCATCCAAGGATTTCAATTTTTTAGAGTTGAATAAGAAGCCAAATATACTCCCAAATGACTTAAGCTCATCAAATCTGGTGGTCAGGGAATTAATTGCAACATCTATCCTCACGAGAAAGTATTTAACTCTAAATGATTCCTTTGCAACTGCTTGCGCTTCTTCCATTTGATTATTTTCTTCACTACCATTAGTTTCATCAAAGTGCTTTTTTCTGATAACATGACGTTTTACAGGAAATATAGGGTCTATATCCATGTCAGATGCAATAGATTTTGCAATGTTCACACTGGATGTAAAGCCGTCATTTCTGTACTTCTTAAAAAATGAGATGGCACCTTCAATTTGCTTAAGGGTAACATCAATGCACATAAACTCAAGCTGCAACTTCTTACCGACCATGTTGATAGTAAATAAAATATCATGCCAAATGACCATGCCAACTAAGAATTCAAAATTTCCAAGTGCAGTAACCAAAGATTTTGCATCACTCTTAGTTTTGGGGTCATCATTAGAAGTTCTCTGCAACTCCAATAGAGCTTTTCTTAACTGAGGTGCTTGATATCTAATAGCTTGAACACTCTTTATCTGACTCTCCCAGCGAGTATTACAGAGAGATTTAACAGTAAGGTTTGGAACATTATCAAGCAATACCTGCCATCTTTTAGTAGAGCCTGAAAACAATATGTAGATCCGTTGCACAACTCCAAAGAAAGTAATAGCTTTGCTGCAAGATTTTGCCATATCGCATAGAGTAAGATTCAGGCTGTGACAGGCACATGGCATGTACAATGCTCTCGGATTTATTTCAAGTAACCTCTTCTGGACACCTTGGTGTTTTCCCTTCATGTTTGAACCATTATCATATCCTTGACCTCTAACATCATTAACATTCAAACCAAGCAACCCAAGTGCAGTTATTAACTCTTTATAAAGTCCAAGTCCTGATGTATCATCCACCTTTAGGAACTCTAGAAAATACTCATTTATTTTTGTAGTGGCACTTGACATGTTTACACATCTCACAATTAGAGTCAATTGTTCTTGATGGCTCACATCAGGGGTACAATCAAATATAACAGAGAAATACTTGGCATCCTTAATTACCTTTAAGATAGAATCTTTCACACTCTGAGCAAGAAGGCCAATTAACTCATTCTGAATCTTATGCCCAAGATAATGATAGTGAATTTCACTATTTTGAATGCGCCTAAGATGATCTTGCATAACTGGGTCAAATTCTGCTATCATTTCAATTACTCCCAAAAAGTTTCCATTGCTAACTTGGTATAGTTTCTCATTTGGTCCTCGAAAAGCCAAATTATGCTTGGCAAGAAACTTCACTGCAGCAACAATTCTAATCAGAACTTGTCTCCATCGCTCTTTCTCTTTTGCAATTTCTTACTGCAGATCTTTATCAATTGTCACATTTTTACTTAGCCTCAGTCTTACCTCATTCCAAGTATTCATGTTAGTGATATGCTGAACACTATTCTCATGAAGTTTGAGCTTCTCACTTAGATGCTTCCAGTCCATTAGTCCTTCAGATGCTAGTAAACTTTTGCTACTTTCAGACTTGAACAATTTGCAGCCAAAACAGTAAACTTTATTCACATATTTAGAGTACACCAACCACTTCCGATCACTGACCTCCCCATTACTAAGCTTTCTTCAGTAGTAAGCATACGGAAAATGTCTTCCAATATTATCCGTTTCGAATACAAGATTGTATTCCCTTGTAGGCCCTTTTTCAATCAGAATATCTCTTGCTTTATTGTCAAGAGCGTCCCAGTGTCGAGGGTCATAGATATCAAAAGGAGAAGACCCTTGTTCATCAACACTTGTAGGATTCTCACGGCCACTCAAATTTATAGGAGTCTCATGCGCATTGTTTTCCTCAATTATGGTCTCATTCTCAGCAGGTTGTTGTTTTTCAGCACCATTGCCATCTAATTCATCAAGATTATCAGTAGTGTCATTTCTCACAGCAAATTTATGCATAGCTCCCTTCTGAGTTCCAATTAACTTATCTATTCTTTTCCTCTTTGTTCTTTTCTGGAAACCAGATAAATGTTTTTTGGGCAGCATGTTTGCAAGAAAAGGATTGAAGGCACTTGAAGGCTGAAGGTTGCAATAAATCAGTGAAAATCTGTGTTCTTCAGGCTGCAACTATCCATAGTCAATCATCAAGGAACAAGAAGTCCAGGACCAAGTCATCAACAACAGATCGGACTCTACTCCAAGAACACTACTGTTGTAAAAAGAAGAATATAGATTAATCACTAGATTAAGATTGAGGGCTAAGAGAAATTAATCTTGAGATTTACCTTTGTCTCCTGCTATTCCTTGCGAACGCATCTGGCGGCAGCCGCTGTCGAAGACTCGCAGTTGCCCGGTCGGCCAATCTGTGAAGGCGAACAGGCGAGAAAACGAACCGGCGTTCAGACTGAGGAGGAGGAGAGTCGCTCGCCTCTGTGCCCCTTGGTGAGAAAACGAACAGGCTAGAAAACGAACCGGCGTGACTTCGGGCCTCTTGGCAGTTGGGCTTCTGTTGGAGATGGGCCTCCCTCCGACCCTGCCTACAGCCCCTTACTTTTTTATTTGCGCTAATTCATATGGGCTTTTATATATACACTGTACCCTACAGGTCGGGGCCCCTAATTTCACTGGGCCACGGGCCGTCGCCCCTGCTGCCCTGGCCCAAGGCCGGCCCTAGATGCTCCCACAAGGTGAAGGTGCCTGCAATCCACCAAACGTGACGCTTGAGACGCCGCCGACAATATCGAGAGCAACCTCGCCGCCCAAGCGATACGAGGTGAACGCAATCGATGTTGCCAAACTCTTGAGGCCGCCGCCTCGACCTCCCCTGCTCCGTTGTGCCCTGCATAGTCCACCAGCAGTTCATTCAGAAGGAAACAACCATGTTGGACTCATCAGCTTGCCATGCGGTGTCCGAAAGCTATAGTCTGATATGTCCCCAGCAAGTAGTATTCATCTACAGAAAATTTCTCTGAACCAAGAGAGAAAGCATTACACATCATGGTATTTCAGTGTGTGTTTCAAGGATTTTGTGCACGACAGAAAAATAAATCCAACGCCGATAGTTGCCCATCTTATTCATCCACATGCATATTGTTCATACCACACAATACACATCAACTTATTGGCAAACAATTTTTGGCCTACGAGATCGATTCAGTATGAGTAGGCGCTCTGCAATATCTGTCATCGTGGGCCTTTGATCTACATCAAGGTTAATACATTCCACGGCAATCTCCGCCAGACAGTCAAGAACCTCCAAATCTCCTGTTGTTACTGCAATTTCCTTGTCAAACAGCTCGGTTGCTTTCTTCCCTTCTCTGTGAACTTCAAGGAAACTGCTCACTAGGTTGTTATTATCAGAATGAGTGGCCTTTTTTCTGCTAATGACCTCCAAGATCACAATTCCAAAACTGTAGACATCACTTTTCAAGGTCTGCCGGCCTGTTTGCAGGTACACTGGATCCATATAACACATGTCACCGATGATATGGACAGTGTGTTCCTTATCTCCTGTAATCAACCTTGATATGCCAAAGCCTGCAATCTTTGGCATACAGTTTTCATCCAGGAGTATATTTGCCGGTTTAACATCACCATGCAGGATTTTGATACGAACTTGTGAATGCAGATAAGCTAGCCCTTGTGCTGATTCTGCAACAATAGTTAGACGCACGTCCAACTTTAAGGGCGCATTATTGCCGCCATGAAGAATATCATTCACGGTACCATTGGAGACGAGCTCGCACACTAGCATGGGGTGATCTGCTTCTCGGCAACAACCTATGAGCCTGACGATATTCTTGTGGCTGACTTGAGACATGTTGATGACCTGATTGTGAAATTGTGGATGCTCTAACAAACTGGAATTGATCGGTATCTTTACCGCAACCAGTGTGTTATCAATAAATCCCTTGTAAACTTCACCAAAGGCACCTCTTCCAATACTATTGGCACTCCTTATTATTGGCTTGAGCTCCTCCTTCCTGAAGATCTTTATAAAATGTGACTTCTAATGTATGCCTGGTGTTCCTATTGAAATTTCTGCGCCCTTTCCAATTGAAAATATCCAAATTGTTCAACTTGAAAAACCCAGTAGAGACAGAGCTAGAATTACCTCCACCACGACCGTTTGTATCTTGCACTCCCCATGGTAAGTGACCTACTTTCCGTTGCTCAGCAAATGAAGAACTAATGTCAGTTTCCTCTGAATAGTCAGCACTCGTATGTCGTGCATGTAATCTACGAGATCGATTCAGTATGACAAGGCGCTCTGCAACTTCCGTCATTGTGGGCCTTTGATCCACATCAAGGTTAACACAGTCCACAGCAATCTCTGCAAGACAGTCAAGGATCACCAAATCTCTCGTTGTTACTGCAATTTTCTTGTCAAAGAGCTCGGTTGCTTTCTTCCCTTCTCTGCGTAATTCAATGAAACTCTGCACTAACCAAACACTGTCAATATAGGTGGGCTTCCTGCTAATGAGCTCCAAGATCACGACTCCAAAACTGTAGACATCACTTTTTTCTGTCAGTTGACCTGTTTGCATGTATACTGGATCCATATAGGTCATGTCACCGATGACGAAGGAAGTGCGTTCATTATCTCTCGCAATCAACCTCGATAGGTCAAAGACCGCGATCTTTGGCACAAAGTTATGATCCAAGAGTATATTTGCTGATTTGACATCACCATGCAAGATTTTGGTACGAGCTTGTGAATGTAAGTAGGCTAGCCCTTGTGCTGATTCTGCAACAATATTTAGACGCACATCCAAGTTGAGAGGCACCTTGCTGCCGCTGTGAAGTATGTCATGAAGGGTTCCTCTGGGGAGGAACTCGTAAACCAGAATGGGGTTATCCATTTCTAGGCAACAACCTATGAGACAAGCAATGTTCTTATGTATGATTTGAGACTGGATGATGACTTCATTTTTTAATTGCTTTTCATCAGCATTAAACATTTGCTTTACTGCAAGCAGAGCATCATCAACAACGCCTTTGTAAACTTTAGCGGAGTTAACTTCTCTGATGAGATTACTACTCATTATTATTGGCCTGAGCTCCTCCGTTGTGAAGATATTTATAAAATGTGACTGTTCTGATATACGCCTGTTGTTCCTATCGAAAATCCTGTATGCTGTCTTGTTGTACATGTCCAAAATGCTAAACCCATAGAACAGAGTAGATATAGAGCTAGAATTGCTTGTTTCATGGCGGTTGAGCTTTTCCATCGTATCTTGCCCACCACATAATGATAACTGGCCTAATTTCTCTTGGCCTTCTTGGAAATGAGGCCTTTCAATTGTTTTTGCGGCATCTTCCAATATTTCAGAGTGTTCCTCGACATCCGCTTGGAGGCTCTTAGCTGCAGGGTTTCCAACTCTTTCTTCAAATTGTTCCCTTGGTAAATTTACCTGCAGCTCAGTGAATGAATTGTTGATGCCAGTTTTGTCTGATTTGTCAGGACCCTCAATTTTATCAAGTCTATCAATTATATGGCATGCATCTGGTCTCTTCGCTGGGTCCAAGTCCATGCACTCTATCGCTATCTCACTGCATACTCTCACTTGTTCTAATTGCATGTCCCCCTCTGATACCCCCAATCGATCCATCCATCTTCCGACTGCCTATAAGGTGCAATCATGAGTTAGTATTTATTATAATGATATATGTGGTTATTACATTACAGCTACTAGAGAAAAAAATGCTTGAATCCTAAAAACAGGACCACAATTATTTTCTTTCACATGTTTTAAGTTTAATTTGTGTATGTACTGCCTATGTCTGTCGCACAGAAAATGGGTACCTAAAAACAAGTGCGCCTGTGATTTATTTTCATGCAATTCACTTGGGGTATCTTAAAATGATCAGTTTGTTTAGGTGGTATACCTAAGGGACTACATGTTACTTCCAGAAATATAAATAGCCTTTATTTCGTACAGAAGTGCACACATTTTTTTTAACAAATGAGGTGAATGCATGTATATGTAAATGTGAGCCACATGTTTTGAATTCGAATGGGTAGATCCATGCCCCATAAGTCGAACACCTCTCTAAGGGATTGTTTCCATAAAATATGTATAGACAAAAAAAAAGGAAAGATATTTTGCTAAGTTAAAGCGTAACACAATTATGTCAAAATCTATAGTTCAACTTGGGGCAAACGCCTAACTCATTCTTACATGCTCATCTTTGCAATACCTCCTTGCTCCTGTCAGTATCTCCATGATTATAACGCCAAGGCTATATACATCTGACGCGAATCCAATTTGGCCTGATCTGATGTATTCTGGATCCATATATCCTCTGTAGGAACATTCATAAAGCCCCGACAATAAATATGCAGATAAATGTAAAGTCGTCGTGCCTAACAAAACGAAGAGCTTTCAAAAAGACTGGCTTACTTTGTTCCAAATATATTTTGAGTAATAGCACAGGTTTGTGCTTGACTAAGGCATCTTGATAGACCAAAATCAGCAATTTTGGGTACCATGTGACTGTCTAGCAATATATTAGCCGGCTTCAAGTCCAAGTGAAGAATACCCTTCTCACGGAGAAAAACTAAACCTGTAGACACCCCCCTGATTATTTGATACCGCTTCCTCCAATTAAGTCCACAAGTTGCATCTGCACACAAGGAGCAGCCAGGATTTGTAGTTTCTTACGTACTTTAGGTACATGGCTATAATGTCATGTTAATCTATGAATACTAGGTAAAATAAGTATACACCATGTTGTGTATTTAATAACCTTTAACAGATTAAACAAAGATGGGAATAGACGATGTCATCCTACCGGTAATGTGTCTATCGAGACTCCCGTTGCATGCATAATCAAAACATAGCAGCCAGTTTCGTTCCTCTGCCATGACAAGATTCCCCTCGTACTCTTTCATTTTACCTTGCGCGTCAGCGCAATACCCCAGAAACCGTACAATATTCTTGTGCTTGGCCTTTATCAGGCACTTAATCTCTTCCTGGAATTTATTCTCATGAACACCATACGTGTTTGACAGCTTCTTCACAGCAACCGTACCTTTCCCGACCACTCCCTACGGTGACAAAATAGATTGTTAAAAACAACTCATGTGTGTGTGGTGGTTTGAATATCTGATACATATGCTTAGTTTTTAAATCAACTGTGGCTAAGACTAGGGAAGCTGAATAGATATAGTTGTGTGATACCTTATAAACCACCGCAAATCCGCCGCTGCCAATTTGGTGATCAAGGGAGAAACAATTTGTGATGTCTTCCAAAAGTGATAACGGCAGGTTTGTGGGCTCTGCGCTTTCATCGAGCAGAATCCTCTCAAGGACATTGTGGCTTGTACAGGCTTCACGGTCCATTTGCAAATTGCAATCACTGCAAACGAAATGAGTGGAGCACCCTTAACAATAACAATGATGATCTAAAAAAAGAGCAATGACTTCATTTTAAGGTGACCATGAGAACTAATTACCGTGCCACTTGTTGGCGGTGGCTACTTTGACCAATTTGTTTTCACCAGAAACGTAAGAGGCTTGAGGATGCAAGCTGTTTTCAGTATGTCTTCTCCAACAGGTGTTTTTACCAAGATGTACACTTCACATGACAAGATGCTATGTTTTATTCAAAATGTAAAAAGGATTAGTAAGGTAGTGATCTAAACGGTGTTATATTTCTTTACGGAAGATTAATTAACACACGAATACCTTAGATTCAAAAAAAAAAACATGAATACCTTGGCTATGCGAGGAAGGACGAAGTCAACGCCGAGCGGATTCCGCCTCCGTCGCGCACGGGAAAGGTGGTGTTTTTCAGCGGAACAAGCAGCTCGGCGGCGACGGCAGCGGCAGCAGCTTCCCTCCTTATTCAGCATCAGATCCAGGAGAGCCGGCGCAGGGATTAACGGAGCTCCAAAGGACCGGTTACAGCGAGAAGGGGAGGGGAAAAACTACTCAGAGGAAGAAGGAGAAGAAGAAATCCAATAAGCAATTCGCCCGAGAAACTCAGATCAAGAATCTGCGGACCCGGGAGAGTAGAACGGGATGGATAAGAAAGACGGAGCTTCTACTGACCCTCACTCAGTGGCGCTACACCCTCCGTTACATCATGCAGTGCCTATAGATTTTTACGAGGACGTGGGCATAGCCCAGTGGTTGAGGGCGCATGATTGTAAACCCAACGACCAGAGTTCGATCCACGTCGGGAACGAATTTCTGAAATTCTCATGAGGGATGCTTCTTCTATATCAATAAACCGTGGGTGCTAGTGCCCATGGAGTTTCATTTTTTTTTATAGATTTTTACAAAATTCAAACATTACAAACTTTGATCATATTTATTAAAAAAAGTAGATACATCTAGAATACCAAATGCATATAATTAGATACATCGTGAGTTATATTTTCAAAATGTACATGTTTGGTATTGTAAATGTAGACAATTTTTTCTATATACTTGGTCAAAGTTGGTAAAGTTTGACTTTCACAAAAATCTATAAGCACTACATTATGAAATAGAGGGAGTACTACTTATCACTGGTGCTTGCCACTGTGGCATAATTGCATCCTCAAGCTATCCTCTCTGTACAACCAAATTCAAAATATTTGCGAATTTAAAAAAAAGTTCAACAAATCATAAAATGACTGTGAATTCAGAAAAAACAAATGTTCAAAAAATCATAAAATGTACTACGTGCATTAAAAGAGTGTCCCGACTTTGAAAAAAATGTTCACAATTTTGAACAATGTTTATGTATTCAAAAATTGTTCATTGGTTTAATTTTTTCTGCAAATTCAAATAATGTTCATGGATTTTTTAAAAGTGTTCACAAAAAACGAAAAATGTTCGGAAATTTCGGTAATTGTTCCAAAATTTTTAAAATACACTTCATCGATTCAAAAAGTGTTCGCTGATACAAAAAATGCATGAATTCGAATAACATTCATGCATTTCAAGAAAATGTTCGTGAAGTTCTAAAAATGTTCCCAAATTTCAAAACATGTTCTTCGATACAAAAAATATTCACGGGTTTCATAAATGTTCACAGATTTGTAAAAAAAATCATGGTTTTTAAAAATGTTCGCAGATTTGTATAAAATATTCATGAATTTGAAAAAAAAAGTTTATGATTTCGAAAAAATCTTCACACGGGAGTGGGAGATATGAAAAAATATTACCGAAATAGTTTTGAGAGTAACCTTAAGTGTTTTGGGGTTACCGGAAGGGTTTACGGGAATATCGGGTAATATCGGATAATGATATATAGGTAGAAAATATTTTCGGGGACCTAATATAAATAATAGATGGCTCTGGTAATGATCCGGGAGGTCCCTAGGATTTATTTAGTGCCAATGGGCTAAAGAAAAATACTAATTAGGCCTAATAGGGGAGAGTTAATGGGCCTATGGGTCCAATACGAAGGTCGCGCCCCCTAGCTTGTTGGACAAGCTTTGGGGGGGGGGGGGCTAGTTGGAGAGGGACTTATCTCCCTAGGCCGTTGTGTCAAGGGGACGAGCCCTCCCCAAGTCAGTGGCCCCTCCGCCCCTCCACCTATATATACTTGAGGGGGGGTGCACTAGAGAAACAACTCCCTTTGATCTTGGGCGCCCCCCTCTCTAGCTCTCCCCTTCTTGATCTAGACTTGAACTAATTTTACTATTTTCTAGTCCTCGTAATTGAGAAGCCTTGTGAGTTCTCTTCTCCCTCCTCTAGTTCTTCGGTGACGCAAAGCTCTGGACGGCGAAGCACTACCGGATTGTGAAGCCCGTACGCGTGCAACACGTAGAGAGGTCGGGCTTTCGGTCTTTTGTTCGAGGTATCATTGTGGATGGTTCAAGGGATTACCGTGTACGGTTCGAGGGATCATTGTGGATGGTTCAAGGGATTACCGTGTATGGTTAGAGGGACTTCAAGAATGATCTATGCCAACTGTTCTTCCGCTGCAACTCAAAGTTGGTAACTATCCGATCTAACCTTGTATGCATCTTCATAGTGACGTCTTCGACATCGTTGTCATAGAAGCCTAACCGCACACATCGACGGACAAACATCAACCGAACACAATGTCATGCACGTCCAACCCGCGGGAAGCATCAATGGAACAAAGCTCTTCAAGACAACGCCCTAAAGAGGGGAAACAACGCTGAAGATGATGACAATGCCCGACCCTGCAGCAGGATCTAGGCTTTCGCTCAGAGATCTTTATCCGAGAGCTGGGGATGTATAGATCTGCCCAACGACGCCTCCAAGGAGGATAACGTCGCCGCCTGCCGACAAGCACCGACCAGGCTTTCATCTGGAGCAGCACAACCACCACGCCCACAGTACCGGCCAAGGCCAACAAGTACCTCCACTGGACCAGGCACCCCCTACGCAACGAGTACGCTGGCGGCGCATGGGGCCTGGTCGGCCTGCCCACCCCTACCGCCACACACCCACTAGAGGCAAGACAGAGTAGTTATTGCCTCGAACCTCCAACACAATGAGTTGAGCCCAAATCTAGTCGGTGTGCCCCCCACAACGCCACACCACGCCCATGCTAGGCAGCAATGCTAGCGAATCCTCTGCGCTGGGCGGCGCCTGCGCACCAAGCCATTGACCCCCAGCCACAGGCCCGCAGGAGCCCAGGACAGGGCCGACTTCCTGCAACTACACGCCATTGCGGCACTCGCACCCTCGTTGCCCCGGCAACGTGTGTGTGCACCATCGCGCCATCTAATCCGAGGCCGCCAGCCCGCAGAGCCCAGATCCGGCCCTGCGGCTGCGACCCCTACTCACACAGGGTGCTTGTGGGCGCATCACCGAATGTAACAAGAGATGCTAGACTAACCGGACTTTACCGGGGGATTATGAGGTGGTTAGGAAGTGAGGCGGGGCCACTAATGAAAATTGGGTGGGGCGGGGAAGGGCATTTAGAGAAGCGAAAATCCTACACGTACGAAAGAACCTACGTACAGTTACGAAACCTTGTGTGTAATCTAAACATCCTCCCTGATTTCAGGCCGGTGGGCCCCGGCCTCACCCAAAGACCAATCCTAATCATCCACGCTTGTTATTACTTATTGCGTAAGTTACGTAGCCAGGTTTACGTAGGTGTAGCATTGCTCTTAGAGAAGGGCACGCAACGCAGGGTGTTGTCTTGAAGTATTATCTGAATGTAACACTTAAGTAAAAAAAAAGACGAATGTAACACTCCACAAAGTAAAGCTAAAATTCACCAACATGCATGCTAGATACTACATGAACGGTAAATATGATTTCTTGTTTCCACATTAGTATGGCAAGAAGCAGTCAGCCAGTACTAGTCTTCTCTCTTGTGTCACTCTACTGTTGACGATAGGTTAGCGGCAGAGGTAGCTAGCCAAAGTTAACACCATGATTGATGGAGACTACTCCCTCCCTCCAGCACAGCAGCAGGCAGTATTATTAAGGCGATAGGTATAGTAGGAACTAGGAACAGGAAGCAGCAGCAGCAAGAAGAAGAAGGATCCGACGCCATAATGGTCAAACAACCACGACTCTTCTCCCCTCCTCTCCTCTCCCAGCTACTCCCTTTTCTCCCTCGCCTAGTCTCGCTAGTCCGGTCCTCCTCCTCCTCCTACCCCCTCCCCTCCTATTGGCCCTCCCGATTTCCTCCTCCTCATCCCTTGAATGACGCGGCGGTTGCTTCTTCTCTGAATCCCATCCATCCATCCAGGAGGCCGGCAGGGGCGAGACTCGCCGCCGACGCCCTTCTCCGGCGGAAATGGCCGTAAGTCCTCGCTCCATTCATGATTGGTTGGTTGGCAGGCTCGCCGCCGCTGTCTCCGAGGTGGGGGTGGGGACGTGGGGTGGCCGTGTTTGCTCGGATCCGTGGGCTGACTGGTGTCGTAGGGAAGATTCTTCTTTTGGGCGGCCGCCGCTCCCTCTTGCCGTCTGCGCCATGTGGGATTTCTTCTTGGAAGGAATCGCCTTCGGATGGCAGAGATGCCCTTCCCTTTCTTCCCCTTCAGATGGTTTGACCAACTTGTCATACTCTGCTTGCTGCCTGGCTGGCTGGTGGGGAGACAGATTGCGTCAATTTCTTCTCCATGGAATCAATTTCTTCTCCATGGAATAAATGTGCCGATTTTTCATTTTTGACCAAAATGGCAACCAAGATCTAGTCTTTCTGTTTGTGCATCCAGAAATGTGATTTTGTTGCGTATCCCGTGGTACAAGGATAGTTGGTGCCAAAGCTTGTTTGGGTTGTCTTAGTTGTCTTATGCACTAGGCCACTAGTACAATTTGATCTGATGAAAATATGATTGGTTGAACAAAACTGCAGTTGACACAACAAGACTGAAATGAGCAAACATTATGCTATCAGGCGAGGTCAAATAGCAATCCTTATTTTAGTGATGATTAGTCAAATGGAACTCCCCTCTACATCTTATTCATGTGTGTGTGTGTGTGTGTGCGCGCGTGTGTGTTATACTTATATGAAACAAAACATGCTCAAGTGGCAACATCTTGTATTGTACTCCATTATCTTATCATAATCTTGTGTTCAGAGTAGATTAACATGCCCAAGGAATACTCCATTATCCTATCATAATCTTGTGTTCAGAGTAGATTACAAGGTTCAGTATTCTGTATGCTCTGAACCATTATCTTATCTCTTTGTCCAGTTGTGCTTCTGGTCTCTGGAGTTCATTTAGTATGCCAAGTGCCTTGCCTAGAAAATTACGCGTCTTAATTTAATCTGCTCATCACATGTTAATACTAACAAGTTACTTCCTTGTTCAACCGTACCAGCAACATCAAGGAGTTCCTAAATTTGGGAACTGGGAGGACGAAGGCCAAGGCTACACGCAGTACTTCGAAAACGCCCGCATGGGCAAATCTCCGGGGAGGCCTGTCAACCAAAACGATCGCAATGAAGGCGCTGCACAGGCACCCTCGAACGACCCGCCGTCGGTCAAGGCCTCCCCCTTGAGGCCGGGGTCCGAGCCGGGGCTGCGGAAGAACAGGGACGAAAGGCGTGCCACCCGAGAAGACGACCTCCGTCGCCACGAGGCCGCTGCCCGGAAAACGCATGCCGAGTCACCTAACCACAGATATGGTGACCAGACCAACTACGACGGCGCTGCAAGGAAAGCAAGCAATGAGAGGTCACCCATCCATCCTCGGCAGCAGGCAAGGCTTGCAAACAAAGGTGGGGTTTCATCTCCTATTGCGGATCGTAGGGGTTCTGCTCCCACCACACCTGGAAGGTCCAAGATGAGGCCAACCGGGCGCGGCGATGAAACGGTAAAGCCGTAGCTGCTTCTTTGAGTCTCAGTCAAATGAAAACCGTTCTTTTCCTATACTGACTATGAATGAAATAATATATATTAGGCAGAATGTAATTGCATTATGAGTATTACTGCTGGTACGTGTACTTTCTGAAGTGCTGTTGTGTGATTTTTGCACGTGCAGCCCGAGAGAGGATCAGCTGTGCCAAAGTTTGGAGACTGGGATGAGAAAGATCCTTCGACTGGTGAAGGTTTCACTGACATATTTGAGAAGGTGAGGGAGGAGAAGCAGTCCGGTGCGGATACTGTCGGCACCAGCCATGCATACAAGGACCGCTACAACCAAGGGGACAGATATGAATCTTCGGTGAGTCTGCTTTTAATTTTGTGTACTGCTGCTGGTTTCACCAAAACTATTATCATACTTGTGGAGTAAAGATTCCCTATTTTGCTTGTGGAACTAGTTTTCGCCGCTTTAATATCAGCAGCATTGGCCATTGAGAATCAAGATGGTGCACCTAGTATAGATACCTAAGATAATTGATTGCTTCCATCTCCACTGCTTTTAGAGATCATACCGCCATGCTTAGTTCCACAATAACTGAAAATTGGCCAAGCACTAGTTACTTTCAGCGGTGCAAACTACAGTTCCTTTGAATAATTGTCGCAAAATATTGAATACAAAGTCAGCAGTTCCGCCATGCTTTTGTAGTTTTGTTGATGTTGGTTTCACCACAAATGTTGTCATACATGTGGAGTAAAGATTCTCTTGTTTTGCTTGTGGAACTAGTTTTCGCCGCTTCAAGCATTGGCCATCGAGATGCAAGATAGTGCACCATACCTAAGATAATTGCTTGCTTCATCTCCAACATTGCAATATACAGTTCCTTAGCAGAACAATTGCAAAAATATTAAGTAATGTTACTTCTGGACTTCTGGTTGTTAAGGGGTTGTGTTATGCGGTAGAGTAGTTGCTTATGGTAGCGATATCTCAGTCGTGTTTGGTTCATTGAAAATGTGATAGTGTCGATAAATCGCATCTAATAGATGGTACGTGCGTGTCTGCTTCTTTTTCAGGGCTGCTCATGCTTCAGCTGGTTCAAGAAGTGACACCCACCCTGTCTGTAACATACCTGTGGCGATTGTATCTTTGTGAAATGAGTAGCCAAATCTGTTGTTTTGTTGAGATGTTATGTTATAGCGAGACATGTATCGGAGCATGAATTATTCACAAGGCTGTGATTCAGCATTTTCTTGAGCATTTGTAATCAGTGGTTGGTTTCCTGAGTTTTGCAACAATTGTCTCATTCCTGGATTAAAGGGGAAGCAGGTTGGGAAATAAGGACGGTTTGTAAAACTTGTCACAAGCCAACCGATATAGTAAAGGCCGTGAAAAAGAATCAAAAGGCCTTGCATTTACAGACAGTAGTTGATATTCTGATCGTACAACAGCTTAGCAGATTGTCCAGTAAAATTTATATGGTTATTCAGAGAGAAAATGTATGATACACGTTTTGAATATTTCATTGTAAAATCTGGATTCTGGAGGTGACAGACCAGTAAATTCAAACAATGACAGCGATCAAGGTCCAGCGCTCTACTACATAAAAGTCTCACGAATCTCCAAACTAATGAACAACACCAGACATATCTACGCAATCCCAAGGACCTATAGGCAACATGTTCTATGTACTGACAATGTGTTTTACATCAAAACTGGATGCTATCTTGCTTGTCTTTAGGGGCGACGCACTGCCAGAGAGATCTGTAGGATTCAATTTCTCTCGCATCTATTCCCAGGGTGCGAAGGTTCCGCGCATATTCCTACAAACAATGTGTCAGCAGGAGTGCAATGCATCTGATACACATCTGGTAAGGGGAAAAAGATTGTACATAGAAAGAACCAAAAGGGGGAATACCACAAAGAAAAACCAGTTGATGAAAGATGAATCTATATGCTTTATGAGCATGAGGGTAAAAGACAGTTAGCGAACCTGAATATCAAGGAATAGTTGCATGCAGATCTTGTCGGTGTCAGATATGATGTTATCTGAGGCATCAGTACTACCTCCTATTCGTTTTTGTTGTCCTTGGCGCAGTCTTTGCAACGAAGATTCAGTTTTCCTTGCCTTCATATTGAAAAAATACAATCTGAGTAACTCATAGGTAGAAAGGTAGAACTGAAATTTCAAAGGCGGGCGGGCAATCCTTATACTTACCACATTGACTACTTCGGATACCATGTCATAATAAGTTGCCGTGATCTTGTCTGTCGATCCACGGCGCAGCTTAGTTTTATCATCTTCTGTTAAATAGTGCACACGATCTCCTTCAAGAAACACCTAAGAACACAAAGGTATATGGCCATAACTCAAATGCAGACCATACAACTAGTACATGTAATATGACCTTGCTCAGAAGAGAGCAATAAACTCAGAAATTTTAAGCTAATAAAATGCTGTCGGTTGAACAGAAACAGAAAACCAACATGGAAGTTCATTCACCTTAAGTGGATGCAAAATCCCAGATACATACGGAGAATGCCTCACAGGAAGTTTATTGGTCATCCTATACGTGGCCGTTATTCCCTTCAGGTGTTTCAGATCCTACAATCAATTCAGAAAAAATTTAGTTACAATCAGAGAACAAGAGGAACAGTCTTAAATGTTCTCCATTGAATAAAATTATTTACAAATGCAACATTAGCTTCTATATTCAGCAATATTTCATGCCAGAACAAAAGATATGTATGATGATAGTATTGCCCTTCTGTTGGCATTGGTCCACTCACCTCATTAGACCTTTTAACTATGACCCCAATCATGACATCCATTATGCTAGGCAACAACTCCTTCAAAGGCTCAACAGCTTGCAGTATACTTTGTTTCACAAGGGTAAGTACTTCAATGGGGCATGATGCTAGCAATTGATTCACACGTCCCACAAAGTCGCCTGATTCTGAAAGCTCCCCAATTACAGCATTTACATCATGCATTACCTGCACATCAAATTATCGTAACCCTTTAATCCAATGGAAAAAAAGTCTGTCAAGCCTACAAACTGCTACGTGGTCTGCGCAACATTGTTTTATAGCATATTCAGAGCGCAATAAGGACTACAGAAGGACGGGCCAGGACAACAGGAAAGCTGCACCTTGCCCTTTTATTGCCTCGTAGTTGTCAATATGAACCCCGCCATGTATGATGCTGGTAAAGCTAAAGTACAAGTAGTCAGCCAGTCAACTTCACCCTGACTTGAGCACTAAATCTTTAGCATGGAGTCAACTAATCACCTTATTGTCAACTTAATTTCATAAACCACTAACTTAAAACGAAAGCATACACTCAAAAGAGTAACACATGGTGTACACAGCTAAGATGATAACACTCAGTACTGAGAAGTGCTAGGTCTTGGTCACTGAAATGACATGGTAAGACTTCAAATAAATCTGTAGATGCGACATACATATATGAAATCCTCCACAGGTACAGAGAGTGCCCACTCAGGATCTGCAGGAGAACTCGAGCTCCCATCAGAAGCATTACGCGCAGCCAGACCAGAAGAAAGCCATATTGTATACCTTATTGTGCAAGGACATGGAGGAAACTAAAAGGTCAGCCTCCGGATGATAAATCATGAAAAGTAAGTTAAACAAAAATCATTTGTGATAGTTATACCTTGAAATAAGCTGCAAGGACAATCGGAGGAATTTATCAGAGTGAGAAAAAACAAGAACATCATCACTCCAGCAGGACTGCAAACTTTCTAATAGCTTAATACTTTGCTTCAACAATAATGGCTTCTGCTTCATTTGGTTCTCATTCACTCCGACAGGGCTAATTGTGGCTGTAAGGGCACCATCAAGACCACCAGCAATTTCCTGGAATCTTGTGTAGTTGAACCAGTAGAAATGAAGTGAGAAACATTGTTTTAAAGTGTGTGTATAACACTAACAGAGATATTTATGCTTACCTCAGTGAAAAGTAGACACTAACATGCCACAGTCGCATGAAATCTGTGTAAGCAGGCTCAGAGCGGAACTTTGTTACAGCAGACTTGGAAGGACAGTAGCCTACAGAACAAATAACAGGTCAACCATGAGTTCAAATAATTGTAAGCATCATCCTCATAGAACTTAGAAATGGAGATGTGTTGTGCTCTGCAACTCTCTGTAACACAACAAGTAATAGGATACAATGCAAACTTCAATGCCAACACCATTGCTAGCTGATTCTACCACTTGATTACGTATCAAGGTGCTAGAGACATTACTTGCTCAGCTGAGCAACGACCTTCTTCCCTTTCACCAATTTAATTGTCGTTACACACACACAATCAAAAACATACAATAGCAGGCTTTGCAGGCAAGCATAGTACTGTAGTAGACTTAGCAGACCAAATCACATAAAACAAACCACCTTGTGCCAGAATAATTAGCATACCTTCAAGAAAGTCAAGAAACTTTAAGCTCGCTTTGTAGTTTCTCAGGAACTCTTTAGGTTTTCCAGGAGAACAGGCCCCAGGCTTTCCCTTCATGATTGCAGAATGGACTTCCTTGAGTATTGAATTGGCCAGAAAATCAAAAATATGAAGTCCAGAGTTTGCTGCAAATGAAACAAAAATCGATAAGATGTTATCTATCTAAGTCTATATGCAGCATTTAGGCTTCATCAGAATATGAAGTAACAGAATTTACAGCTACCTGATGAAGATATTTCCAAAATAAATTTGCAATCTTTTTCTACACATTGCATTATCTGCTCATAGTCATCCTCCAGGTCATCAGAAGATACCCCAGAAACAGCTTTTGCATAGTTTTGAGGGACAATTTTCTGAATCAATGGGGAGACCACTGTTGTACGGAAAAGCTCTTCAGCTGAAGATGTGTTGTCAATGGCAGCATAAGCACGCAAGCAGTTGTATATCACTTTTGCGTCCCGATGTTCTAGACCAACCACAAAGCAACGCTCCAAGCTACCATCAAGTAGTTTTGTAGCACCTTGGACCCTCTTCTCCATGTTCTCAATAAAAGGAAGGTTCTGTACTGCCATAATAACAGAATAAGAATCATATATATGTTGCATTAAAATGTACTCCCTCCGTAAAGAAATATAAACATTCTTATATATTTCTTTACAGAGGGAGTATATGATGTATCCAGTTAGACATAAAATGAGTGCTACCAATACAAAATTGGGTTGGTACTTTGGCAGTTTGAGAATAAGATTCTAGCACAAACTTCAAGAAGTGAATGAACTTAATCATGGCCATGAAATACAACTGGCTATTTCTCATACTTTATTAAGACATGATTACACATATTATGATGACAATATATACTGCCCTTTCAATGGTGACACACGTACCAAATATTTTCGTGTGAACTATCTGTAAACATTTTACGTTGTAATTTTCCTAGGGTTCTGTTCGACAACTTACATAAACCATAGAAAAACTCTATATATTAGAAGCTAGAGATGCCCAAGGAGAAAAGGACCAGTACTATCTGTTGGCACAAACCTGTGCATGGCTGATGTAAAATTTGAGTCGGTTCATCTCGCTTGCGATTCTTTCTAACAGAATGCTTTGTGTTTCTCTGACATCTGTCCCTGCCTCCACATTTGGTGACGTAGTATCATTGCCGGAGTAGCCCTTATCAACTGAACGAACCTCAACATCTGATGAATCAGATGGTGCTGTTGGTAATTCCTTGATCAGTTTCTCAACCTGAATGAACAAAACAAACCGTTAGGTTTCATAAACGACACGACATGAGCTAAAGCAATTTGGTGAACACATATCAAACTTGCTTTGATGAAACAATCTGGAGGGTCAACGGATGACAAGCCAGAGGAGTTATTTCATTGGAAGAAAATCTCAGCATCATGATACGCCGCAAATTTCGATAAGTATGCAGTGGCATGTGACCGTTTATACTAACTGTGAAATTTTAGTCAGTAATTTATTTATGCAGTCAGACCCAGCAGTGTTAATGAACTAGCTACATTGGCATTTAGATTTCAGACACAATGGGCAAAATCTCTACCTAAAAATGAAGCAATGGCTGGTACAAATTGGTAAACATGTACTATCAGACTTGCTTTAGTGGCCAGCTTGATAGAAACCCTCTTGATGGTCAACGGTTCAATGGCGGAG